CCCCCCCCGGGACAAGGCAGCCTGAGGAGGCCTTTCATGTTCTCCATAAGTTACAAAGTTCAGGATTTTAGTGAAGCCCCAACTCAGGGAGGCCTTGGGAGCAGAGCTGACATAGCATTGATGTCCACATGCAGTCAGCACACAGCATGACACCACACAGGACCTGCCCATGCTCATCACGTGAAAGACCAGAAACAAAACCAAAAGATTTCACAGTTGTAAGCAAGGAGGAGCAGAAGCTTCCAGGCACACAACATGCATTTCACATGCAATTCCCACAGAGTCCGCCCTGGGAGGGGGGGGGCAGTTACAGGTCCATTTTACAGATGAGGAAAGTGAAGCTCTAAAATGGAAGGTCCTAGCAAGGCATGCAAAAGCCAAGACTAGCACACAGCCTAAGTTCTGGCTGTGTATGGTCTCTGTGGGATTAAGAGAGTTTTCCAGAAATTTCTTTTAAACTGTTTTAGACTGACATATTTCATCAGATGTCTGTCAGGCCAGCAGTGGGAGCTAACACACCGATTCTCAGAAGCTCAGAGGCTGTTCTCCTTCTTCGGCAGATTCACATGCTCAGCCCCCCGCCCAAGCCTGGTGGCTTAGCCCAGGCACCAGAGGAAGCTCCCTGGGCTTGGGTTGGCATACTGCAGGTGCTCAGTATAGTGGGTGAACGAGGAGAATCTGAACTGGCTTGAGAGAACCACAGGGAGAATATTCCGGTAGCTTTCCCACGTGCTGGGCAGTGCTGAGCACATTAGCCACGTTAACCCCATCCTTCTCAGGATGCTGTGAGGCGACTGCAGTGGTGGTCCCCAAACACAGGTAGAGAACCAAGCTCAGCCCAGGGAGTACTCAGCCTGGGATTCCAACCCCTGGAGTGCCCGGAGGCAACCCCATGCACTGGCCAAGTGCAGGTGGGCAGAAACCGTGGTCAGAGGAACCGTGGCTTATACTCCTCAAGGACATGCCAAGTGGGGTACCCCCATGCCTGATGACTGTTCCTTCCATTTTCAACACATCTCTGAGGCAAACAGCAGCAACCCCTGCACGGCGCCACCTCAGCCCAAGTTTTGTGTCTCCCCAGTCCCCTCCTCTCGTGGTGGCCTCTGGGCTCCCACCTTTATAACCTGCTCAGGTTGGGTGTGTAAAGAACCTTGAACAAACTCCCTAAGCTCTGGGGCCCTCAGCTTTTTCGTCTGTACAGCAGGAACACTGACATCACCCGTGGGGGGGGGGCTGCATCCCACACACTTTACCACCTTGCGCTAAAGGCCATTTCTCTTAGGTGCCCCGAGAGGTGGAACTGTTCGCCTCAAGAGCCCCAGGCTCAGGGAAGGGCACCCCCAATCACCTACCCCAGAGCAGTGGGTGGGGCAGGGGTGAGCTGGTTCCAAGATGGTAGTGCTGGGGAGGGAGTGAACTTCCGGCTGCATGGGCTCCCTGCGGACACCCGCCCCTGGGTATTCCCTGCATGCAGTACATGACAAGGTACTGGATGGCCCAGGGCCCTCAGAATGCCCCCTGGGGACCACCCTGCTGCCAAACCCTCTGGGTCCCCACCCCAGCCTAGGTGCCATGCTAGTGGGACTGGGAGAGCACCGTGAGGGGCCCCTCTGCAGGCTGCCTGCAGTGCGGGAGGAAGGAAAACCAGGGGGCCACCCCACTTTTGTGGACACCGTCCAAGACATTCAGCAACAGGAGCATCACCATCCCTTAGAGCAGCAAGGGACCTAAGAGGTGGACAGACCCAAGACCCCATTATATGTACCGGGAAACTGAGGTCCAGGATGGTGACTAAAACATGCTTGAGGGCTGGGTGTGTCAGTGACTCTGCCATGTAAGAGGGGTGCCTGGCCCCACGACTCATCTGCAGTGGTGGGTGGGCCCTCCTGGCCCTCAAGACTCTCCAGTCCTCCACCATCCACTGGTCTGCCCACACAAACCAAAGGCACAGGTTTAGCCTCATCTGGAAAATACCAACTCCCTGGGCCTCTTTTCCTGCATTCTTTCAGCTCCGGGATGCCCAGGGCCCCACCCTGCTCACACATAGCTCAAAGCAGGGAAACCATTAAAAAAGCTAAGATGGGTGGCTAGACACTGCCTGCCCAACTCAGTAATGGTTTCCAAAATCTGAACTATTATTACCACCAGCACAATAATCATCCCATTTTACAGCCAGGAACCTGAGGCATGGAGGGACTATGGCATTGGCCCACAGATACTAGGTGCTGAGGCTTCCCTGTGCGAGGCTGCCTTTTCTTAAGCTAACAACATTGTGTGTGTGTTGGGGAGGCACGGGATTGAACTCTGGGGTGCTCTACCACTGAGCATCTGTGCTACACCCCTAGCTTTTTTTATATTTTGGGACAGGGTCTTACTAAGTTGCCAAGGCTGGCCTTGAACTTGTGATCCTCCTGCCTCAGCCTCCCAAGTAGCTGGGATTACAGGTGTGCACCACCCTGCCCAGCTAAGCTTCCTATCAAGTGCCCCCTAGGAGCCATGCTCTGGGCTGAGTGCTCTCTAAGAATTTAACTCATGTCACCTTTTCCACAGCCCTGTGATATGGGTGCTACTATTAGCCTAGGACACCAAGACTCTAAGAGGGCAGGTGATGTGCCTAGGGCCATACGGCTTGGGGCCAAATCACCTTGGCCCCTCTATACTGCCATCTCAGTCAGGGATAGGGCTGGGGACTGTCACCCCAGCCTCTTTTAGGAGCTTCCTATCACCTCAGGGACCAGCCTGGAGAAACTGCTTTAAGAGCCCTCACCAGAGGCAGGCCCTTGACCAGGCCTCCAAACTGCTTCCCCCAAAACCTTGGCTCCAGCCCAGAATGTGGCCTAGGCCAGCCCTAGGCCCCAGGAGTCCAGAGATTTCAAATTAAAGGAATCCAGCATGAGATTCTGGGTTCAATCCCAGCATGGGGGAGAGAGAAAAAAAAATCCGGGCTAGTTCTCAGAGTGTGGGACCACCTGGGAATCCCCACACCACAAAGCAGCTTGAAGAGCCCGGCCAGGGAGGAGCCAGGACAAGCCAGCTCTGCAGGATCCTGGAGAATGTGTCCACAGTAAGTTGCTAAGAGCCGAGATGTTTGAGAAGATCTCACCTAGTCTGTCAAGTCAGCTCATCCTTCCTCCAGAACTGGCTCCCAATGCCAAAGAACTGGGCCCCCTCTTCCAACCCTGCTCACCCTCTCTTTGACATGCCTAAGACCCCCTGGAAGCTCTGCTCTCGAGCCCATCTCTAGTGGCACCACCTCCCTTCTTTGCCTGGCAGACTTCTCCCTACACTTCAAAGACTACCTCCTCTGGGAAGCCTCTCTAGATTGCCCTGTCAGAATTCACAAGGGGACCCAGGGAGAGCATTTTTTATCTTGCTCCAAGTTACCATTAACACAGCTGCCATTAATTGAGTAACTGCTGTGTGCAGATGCAGTACCTGTGGTCTCCTTAATACCCATAAGGAAGGAATCACCACTCCTACCTTTTAAAACTGCAGCTCTGAGACTAAGAAACTTGCCCAAGATCACATAACTAGAGCATAACTAGTTGCATCCAGGAAGGCTACAACTTAGGTCTGGCTCATCCGAGTGGAGGTGCCTGGAGGTGGGGGGTGTGCTGTGCTTTTCCCACCTCTGTCTGCCAGACGGGCTACCAGCTCCAAGTGGGCAGGCACTCTGAGGACCTGGATAGGGTAGAGGGGGCTGACAGGGACCAGCTGGCCCTCACTGTGTCTGCCCAGCCTGGTGCTCCCAGCACATCTGGCCAGGAGGCACTCCAGCCCAGGGCTTGAAATGGACCAACACTGTGGCCTTCGGGAAAGTCTATCCATACCTCCCTCCTTTCCCATCTGGCACACAGAGTCCATGAGGACCAGAGCCCCACAGGTCATCAGGGTGGCTAAGCCCCAAAGCTAAGTCCATTCAAGCAGGCAACTGCTCCTCCTCGCAGCCCCTGATGCCCCAGCTCAGGTTCCATGTCGCCTCTCATGTGCATGGCTGCACATGCCAGACTCTGTGGGGGAAATGCCCCTTTGTGTGGGTTTGTCCAAAGTGAGCCCATTACACTGTCAAGGATGGGGGCAGGGGGGAGCCACTCCATCCTGGTGGTACCACTTCCTGGGAGATCTCCAAGTCTGTTCCCCTGAGCTACAGGAACAAACCCCTGCTCAGTTTTGAGCAGGT